GCTTAAGAGTAGAGAGGATTGACAACCTGCCTCATAAATTTCTTAGGCTTTCCATTTTACATAAATTGTTACTTTGTTTTTCTTTGACTACTGTTTGTGAAGTTTGACTCTTTATGGACCCATTCTGTGAAGTAGTAGTGCCATCACTTTATTAGACGTCATCATGAGGAAGCCTGTTCTGTGCATTAGAAAAAGAAAAGTCATTTTTTTCATGTCATATTGTCATGTGACAAGTCATATTTTGTAAGTATTTTGTGAATCGATGTGCAAAGCAACTTCAGTAAGCATTCACTTCAACATTGTGTCTCCCACTGAACATCCAGGCATGAGACTGAGCTGCAGCAGTCAGGACTACATCAGCATTTTCAGCATTTAGTAGGTCCTAGAGGATGTTGTGTGTTTTGCTCTTTTACAGCTGGTTCAGCCACCCCAGCCTATGTTGATAACATAAATTTATACCATCAAAGAAATGGAGCTGGTACAGGAAAGATATGTCCTGGCAAAAGAAGGAAGCTTTATTTCTTGGTCGGATGTTTTCTGTGCCTTGGGGCTTTGTTAGGCATAAAGTGCTTCAACACAGCTCCTAATTTTCTCTTTCCTGTTCTTTGATTTATACGGTCAATCTGTCACTATAAGGTGTAAATGCTTTCCAGTGTGAGATTGATAACAGTAGTGAGGCTGTTATTTTGCACAGACTTTGGCACCTCTTTCTCTTTTGAATAAATTAAATTGTGTGGAGCTTTAACTTGTGTTTGTTCTCTAAATTTTGTTAAAGATTATTTGATAGTATGATTATTACTATTAAAAATATACTAACTACAGTGGAAAGTTTTTTGGGGTTGTTTTGTAAGACAGCAAATTTTGTGCCATTTCTGTAGATGTCAAACTCAGCATTCACTTTATTGAAGTCAGATCCCAGCAAATGATGTTTTCTCTCCAACTCATACTGGTTTTTATGAGTTACCATAGCATGCAGTTGGCGCTTAGATCTTTAATGAAATTAATGAAAGTTCAGGTTGTTTGATTTGTTGATTACTTTGAAAATTAGGCATAAAAACTCCAACAAATGTCAAAGTTTTTCTGAAGTGGTACAAAGCCTTCTGAATGGACCCTGACATATTTTTGGAAGACTTAACAAATGAGAAGATTAAGCATTGCACTTTGAAACAGCAGCATTCCGTGCTAGTTCTTAATACCTTAATGAGGAAGCAGTGGGTGACTCCTACAGTATGAACAAATCTGATGATTAATAATATATGGGTCTTACAATCCTCTAGTTTATTCTACTCTTTGCAAACCTTTTTTGCTGTTGTCACCATTTCTAACATCAGTGGTAGGAGATGACAGATCTTGCTCTTTAACTTACTTTCTGTCTGTCTCAGCACTTCTATCTTGGTTTTGTTCTCGTTGGTTGTTCTCCACCCATGATTTCTGGCAGGCTTCTAGTGAGTGTGGGAGACATCTACTCCCTAAGAAAAGGTCATTACTTCTAACCTTCTGTATTCTTTAGCTTTTTCTCCTCAGTGTTGATCAATGAGCTCAGTCTGTCTTAGCTGTTTAAAATGTTCTGAAAGCCTCCTTCCTTTTCAGACAGCAGCAAGATTATTCAGGTGCGACAGACAGTTAAAAAACTGCTAGCAGCAGAAGACTACCACACTGTGTCCACCTAACAAGAAGGCAAAATAGCAGGGGGTTTGGACTAGATGACCATTAAAGGTTCCTTCCAGCCCAACACATTCTATGATTCTATGACTTCTACCATATGAGCATTGCAGGGTCATTTAATACTGTATTGATTTGGTTCTCCTTGGCTAGTATGCTCCCTGGAGAAGCAGGATATGCAGTTTCACCATGATACCCTTATCTTGAGCCCCTAGCTCACTGGGGATGGTGTAAGAGATTCTGGTTTTGCTTCATGACCTCTGACCATGAAGTAGAATGCACCGTTGTTTTCATTTAGCCAGTTGTTCTGCCACTCAGTGACACTCCCCACCCCACAAGTGGGAATTGGGAAAAGGAAAGGAGACTCGTGGGTTGAAACGGAGGTGGATTGAATAATATTAGGATTTTTTTATTACTATTTTAATGCTATTAGAAATTACACAGAGATATACTTGCCCCATGTAGTGGTGGTGAGCTGCACACTCCCAGCAGCGAATGCTGGATGTCCAGCACTGTGAGCACCACAGCTCCAGCGAAAGCACGATGGTCATAGCAAACGGGAGGGTGGCCTTGGGAGCAGAGTGATGGGCAAGACCCTCCAGGGTTGGCAGCCATCAGGAGAAGAAACTGTCCCCAGTAAAATTCCTATTTTATAGTTAGCGTGACATTTATGGGCTGGAACACTTTTGTTGGCCAGCTTGGGTCAGCTGCCCTGGCTTTTGCACCTGGCTAACTCAAAACTGCTGAAGACCTTGATCACTGTGGAGACTTGTGGCTGGCCACAAGCAAAACTGAAGCGTCTTAGCAACTTTGTTATCACAGAATCGGGTGTGACAGTCTTCTCAAAAATGCAGCTTTCCCGAATAGGAAACTGATTCTCTGCTAGCAAAACCAGGTCAGCCGTGTAACAGTACTACTTCTTTGTACAGCTCTGCTGTTCTAAGTGGTTGAAATAATTTTGATATGGATGGTTTCTGTTTCAGAATATATTGGAAAAATCTCATCCTGTTCAAAAAAATGGTATGATCTGTTTCCCTGGCAAAACCCATCTTTTCTGATGGATGCTTTTCTAGCTTGTTCTCACAGCTTCCAGTGATAGAGATGCTTTGGAGCCCAGTGCAGAGCTGAAAGTCTGCACTGGATGTTTTAGGGCTCTAGTGTCTTTTTTGCCTTCTAGGGCTGTTGGGGTGATGGTGTGTGTTTTGTTTGGGGCAGGCAATGTGGCAAATCTGAATACTCTTACATTGTCTGTGCTGCGTTGATGAGAAGCTAGTGTTTAAGCCCAGATCTGGTTGAACTGAGAGCATTTCATTTCCCCATCTTGCTGGTATTCCACAGTCAATAGGACATAGCAAATTTGAGACAAGCTTGTATTCAGTTCTTTATGCAATTAAACTATTTCCAATACACTTCCTTTCCTGTTGCTTTTGTCATTATTTTTCCCTCCCTGCCTCAAGCACTTACTCTTGAAAAATACCTACTCCCCTCATTTATCAGGACTAACCTGCCACTGTCTTTTGAAATATAAAAACAAGGTTATTTTATGTCTTTAGATAATATTAACTAAAATGTGGCAGTAAGACGACAGTGAATAGCTATGTAAAAGACAAGAATTAATGACTGCTGTTAGTGAAGGCTGGGTAAAAAAAAAATCCATCATAGCCTGAGAACCTTGACAGCAGAATTGACGTCTAGCCGACAGTTTCCTGTCCTGTATTTTTGTATTTTGTACCTTCTTTCTTCCAACTATTTATCCCCATTTACTGCCCTTTTTTCGCTTTTTTTTTGAGACTGCTTTCCCAATTTGTCCTCGCTGGTAACTCTAATGAAAGAAATATAAGACTTCATACATTTCAGAGCTGTTATTTCATGGTCCGTGCAAACTCTGCTGTCACTGTATTAATTTGCACAAACCTTATGTTTTTCATAGAAACCTTGAGGGCCAGGAGTAACACTTTTTTTTAATTTCTTTTTTTAAAATTATTTTTATATGATAGATTACATTATGAAGTACGGATTGGCCTGAGAAAAAGAGATCATTGATCTGATGCCATTGGCACTGTTCAAATTTTTGCAAATATATAAAAAGCCAGCATAAAGTTATTTCAAGGTTTTCCCAGAGGGCAGTGCTCAGAGACAGCCACAGAAAAACACTCTGTTAAGTAGTTGGCAAATTAAATACGGGATAGTAAGAGACCTCTTTCTCCTTTTCATGGTTAAAATACAAGTACTTGAATCCTACAGTGTCAACGTCTTATTCTTTCATAGAACGTCACATCAATGTACATCATAAGTTTTATTCTTACCTGATTGCTGGAGTTATGTGAATAATATTAGCAGCAAACTTAAAGAGTACTAAGGAGAAACTGCCCTGATTTCTTCTTTGGAAATTGAAAAAAAGGTGGAGAGAATTTGTTTTAAGCAGTATTGGAGATCAAGAATGGGTTCTGCGTAACGTACTACTGTACTGTAATGCTTGAATTTTTGACAAAATAATTATAGATAAGGTGGACAGACAAGTACTCATAATGTTTTATGTGAGGTTTTTTCCATTATGTGGAAGAAGGAACTTTAAATAGGGAACTCTTTCTATATAACCTGCTACAAGAGAATCAGATGATTAAGAGACTTGTGGAGCCAAATTCATGGGTTTTGGCACAAAATTCTGTTCTCGTGAACATCACCCATGTCATGTATTGAAATTGCACGTACTCACACACCTCACAGCATTATATGTGCAAGTAGTATAGACTGAAGTTGATACTAGTGTTATCTTAATTGTTTCTTCAACTTCCTGCTGTATTCCACATCTGTGCATGCTTTTTTCTTCTTTTCTTTCTTTTTTTTTTTGCAGGATATGACTGTGAAAATGCAATAGGCTGTGTCACCTGTTCACTGGAATGGGAATGACTTCCTCTTTATATGACTTTTATGAGAAAGAGCTGATTCTCTTGATTTGTCTGCTTAGACTGTGAAGAAATAGATTTACAGCATAATTTATGTAAATAACCACAAAGGAAGATACATAAAGTTTAGTCTTGAGAAGAGTTAAATTTTATACAAGAATCTCTATGAGAAAAGCAGTTTTACTTAACAGACAAAATTTACGGATTTTAAATATTTCCAACTGAAAATTTTCTGTAATTTTCCCCTTTTGTAGTAGACAATCTGGCTCAATAGCAGCAAGGATACCTTCTGGATTGAATTACTTGGAGTTCATTCGTTTGTTTAAACTCATTGTCAACAGATATGAAGCTGCCAGGGATGGAATTATTGCACTCCTATGTATAATTTTATGTTAATTTGCATAATGACTTATGACTTTGTTTTCTTTGTAGTTATTTGAACTGCTAGGCCCTGAGGGTTTTGAACTCATAGAGAAACTCCTGCAGAACAGATCTCTGATTCTGGAAAGATCGGTGACTTGTCCAAATGATAACAAGTTCCAAACTCTGCAAGGTAAGTGGCTACAAAATTTTTATTCCAACCAGATAAGTAACAGTTTTCTAGCTATTCAGTTTTATTTCAAACAATGGTACTATTTATGTGTATTTAAAAAGCAAGCCAAAACAATCAAACAAACAAACAAAAAAAACCCCAGGATGTGTGAGTAGGATATTTATATGAACTTAAAGAAACTGTGGTCTGATTATACAAAGGAAACAAATATATATTGCATATATTTGTTTACTTTTCAGCTGTCTATGGGCACATGTAATTTTTATATGTATTAACTGTTGCGCTTTTTCTATTTTAATGGAATACTCAGGACATAAGTTCATCTTTGTTTTTTATTTATCTGCTTTCCCACTTACTCTCTACTTCCGTACAATCATCTAATGTGAGTCTTGGGATGAGGGGGTGGAAGCACAGTAATAACCACTTGTGAAATAAATAAAGTTAAGCTTAAGGATGAATAAGTGAGAAGAAAAAAAACAGAGTTCAAGTTTTATATTGTGATTTTTAGTTTTGTAAGGTAAAATTCCCACACAGACTAATTTTTTTTAAATCCATTGTGCAAATTGCTGTTTAAAAACAAATCTCACTTTCTCCTCTGATAAAAATAAATCTGATTATGAATAGGTTGTAACTTGTGTTAAATATTACGTGGACATAACACTGTGCAGCCTGTTGCTTGTTGACAACATATGGAGTTAAAAAAAGGGGAATAAGACTAGTAATGGTGGACTATATATTCTCACAATGATTTTAAAATGGAAATAACTCCTTCTTAATACATTTGTCTTGAATGAAATGTTATATAAGCAAGTGTTTACAGGTTCACCTCTTATTGTGCTGATAGTCTAAACTTATCAGAACTGTTAATTTTACCTGTCATTTCAAAGTGGAATGTCTTGCTATCAGTATAACAAGATTTTGTGTCTTTTTTTTTTTTTTCCATTCTCAAATAATCACACAATTAAAATTCAGAAATATAACAGTTTAGTTGCTACTGATTGTAGGTTTTCTCCTACATGCAAATTTTAGTTACACAAGTAGTTTCTTCTCACTTAACAGAAGTAGTATTTTGGAGGCTATTATGAATTTGGTTTCATTATGCCATCAGTCACTAATCTATCAGTAAAGCCATCTATCGCTAATTTCTGCTAGAATAAGGAGAAATAATATTTTCAAAATTGTACTTTTGAGACAATGGGAAAGCATTACTGATTGTATGCTTTTTTCACTGATGAGAGAACCCTTTTTTTGCTATTGTAAAGAAGTCACATTTGAGTGTCTTCTCTGAGATTGAAGATGCTCTGCCTGAAGTTCAGTTTATTAATTTTAATAAAGCTTTTTCTCTTTGAAGTTGATTGGAATGGTATTTCTAATAGGACTTGAAGTTTTATCTTTCCAGAATTGCATTTGGGGAAGGGAATCATTTCTGACTTCAGAAATTTAGTCAACTTTGAGTAATTTGTTTCTTAAGAAAATAAGCACAAGTCAAGGATTTGTATGTGTACTGCATTTTTGTAGTATGCTATATTATTTAACTATTTCTTATGTAATTTATTTCCATGGCAGTAAAGGTGATTGTTGTGCTTATCAGACAAACCAAGTAACAGTTCTTTGTCCTGGTGTGTTCAATCTGAATTAATTTTAGTCAGGGAATTCATCCATTGTTGTCCCATTTTAATGCAAGAGAGAGGGAGTTAAAGCCACAGACATGATGGTATTAATGTGGATATTTTGACAGTTTACTAGATTTTTATTTTCAATGCTATTTCACATGTTATGGTCATTTTATCCAGTATCCATGCTGTGAGATGTTGGAGTATCATGATTATTGTAGGTGAAAACTAAGCAGCACAAACTGTTCAAAATATCAGTCAAGTGAGGTTTTGGATGAAAAAAGATTTTCAGGTTTTTGGCTTCAGAGTTTGACTGCAAAAGTACATATGAAACATAATTGAATTAAGTATATAATATTTAGGCAAACTTACATAAACTATTTTTAGAATTCTGCAAATAGATCATTAGAAGTTTAAAAACACTGATATAGTTAAAACCAAAACAAACCTCTCCACCTCTCCGCTTTGCTGAGTCTTTGGCTTGACTTTGGCCAATGGCCTCAAAAGAGTGAATGTGAATGGCTTTTTTGGGGTTCCCTGCTCCCCTAGATTTATTGTTTACTGTAATCATATGGTTGTGACTCTTCTTGATTCTATCCTGCTGCTTATGCACATAAAGAAAAAGAGTCCTTGTGGTTGTATAGAATGGGATTTTTTTTCTCACTTGTTTAGGGAAATGACATTGTGAGTATGCTTTCAATACAGTAATGTTATGTAGTAAGAATACACTAACTGTTATGTGAAGAGGCTGTTTAAAAACACCTGCCTGTTTAATCTGTTCTCACACCATTCTGCTCATCAGTGTATACATGTAAGAAGAGAGATAAGTGGTATTTCCACTGCTGACGAAGTTATCATTAATACAAAAAAGTATTTTTCTATGACGTGTTTTCCTTTTCGCAGAATCACAGAATGTTGGGGGTTGGAGGGAACCCCAAAAGGTCATAGAGTCCAACTCTCCTGCCAAAGCAGGGTCACCTAGATCACACAGGAACACATGAATGTCTCCAGAGAAGGAGACTCCACAACCTCCCTGGGCAGCCTGTGCCAGTGCTCTGTCATCCTCACAGTGAAAAAGGTTTTCCTAACATTTTTGTGGAACCTCCTATGCTCCACCTTGCACCTGTTGCCCCTTGTCCTATCATTGAATATCACTGAGAAGAGCCTGGCTCCATCCTCCTGACACTCACCCTTGACTTATTTATAAATAATATTTATGAGGTCACCCCTCAGGCTCCTCTTCTCCAAGCTAAAGAGACCCAGCTCCTTCAGCCTTTCCTCCTAAGGGAGATGTTCCACTCCCTTCATCACCTTTGTGGCTCTGTGCTTGACCCTTCCAAGCAGTTTCCTGTGTGTGTCCAGAACTGGACACAATATTCCAGATGTGGCCTCACCAGGGCAGAGTAGAAGGGGAGGAGAACCTCTCTCTATCTACCAGCCACCCCCCGTCTAATACACCCCAGGATGCCATTGGCCTTCTTGGCCA